CCCCCAAAAAAAAAGATAAATACATACATTTAGTAATACCCTTACTAGTCATCCTTGTGCCTTGCTTACTCTCTGTAATAATTGAAACGACTCTTAAAAAGTTATTAGTCTTGTCCTTTTTTTTATCTACCAAGAAATAATGACTAATTCTGTTCGAAGAGGGGGGGGGGGGGGGCAACTCGTTCCTGGTCAAAAGTCCTGACTTACTTTCTGTAAGGTGGGGTAACACCTCGTGGCTACCTAAATTCATAATAGTTAAATGTTGTTTGTCACGCGGGCAACTGATACCTCATAGGAAATATAATTGATAGTCAAGCGTGTTCTTTAAGAAAAAGGATACGACAGTGTAAGGATTACATTATGGTTATGTTTGCTCGTGTGTTCGAAAATGATTTTTGGATTTATATTATCGCTATGCATTAACACTGATGCTGCAGTGTAAACGAGTATTCATTCCAAGTCAGTTTTAACTAGTCAGAAAATTGCATTTTATTGATTGCAGGCACTCGTTATTCAAAAGTTTAAGTATTCTAGATGTTATTTTGCATGATATTCCTAACAAACATGTGCCTGAATGCATTAATGATGCCTTATTCAGTCCTTTGCATACATTATGATATTAAGATTTAATTAAGTAAATGATTATTTCGTTATTCATGACTTGTATTAATCATTTATTACAGTATGAAACATATGCATTACTTGGATCTGTCGTAAGTATATCTTGCTGAATTCAAAGTTAATATTTAAGTTTAAAAAAACACCAGAAAATCAATGGTGAAGTATCATAAAACTGTATAGCTTTTAAATAGAACTAATGGAAAGTGGGTTTTAAAAACTTAAAAAAGAAATGTTTTTCTCTCCATAAAAAACATATTTCAAGGATATTACTAATTTTTTAGTAACGACTTTTATTTTCTACAAAGTGTTCATTTAAAAATCTACCATATTTTGTCGAAAAGATAAAAACATTAATATATTATATTTTGGTGGTCGAAGACGTCCTGAATTTCTCTGTTTTACTGTTCAAGAAGCACATTCTAGTATGCGATGCCGCAATATCTACCCAAACCTTTTAGGCAATGAATTAACCCGATGTGCTTTGGGATAAGACATTTCAAACATTCACCCTTCCAAATACGAATTCTAGTGTAAATGTTATCTTACCGGCCTTGTTGTAATTATATGTAAATGCTTGTTTATACATTTATTTCTATTTCTATATTGATATCTATATATAAATATCTGTCGTTATTACTTCTTTGCTTATATATCTATATTGATATATGCTTTCCTTCTTTCCCATGTGTATAGTTTTGGACGTATCAGTTGGATGAGTATGAGGTGAGTGATCATATATTATTATATTAAGGTTTCTTGGCGAAGGCCTAGTTATAACATTTATATCTTTCAGTCTAATTTTCAAAATGAATAAACTAACGAGGTCAACCGGGTTACTTTTAACAATTTGCAAATTAATTGAAGTTAGATTGACATGTGTACCGGCCATCACGAATTTGTGGACCGATATTCGTAATAACTAGAAACCCATGCGCCTCTCTTTGAAATAGAGTATTCCGGCTTTCGATTGTCGAAACAGGTCTTTTCTTTGAATAGGTAATCTGTTACAGGTACTATACACATATCGCTGTTTTTCTAAATTTCTTGCTATAATACGCCCCATTCATTCTTTTTAATATTTAAAAGGTAAATTCATTTTCCTGTACATAATGTAAAGAAATGTTGATCACGCAAAACTGAGATTCATTTGAATTTCACTAATTTTGAATATTTTTTATTTTTGTAGTATCAGCAATCAGCAGTCGGAGCTACTAAAAACGTAAACATTAAATTTCTTTTTACAAACTAAGATTTTACGCTCTTAGTCATAAATTGGATTTTTTTTCTGAATAACATTATGCACAACGGTTATTTAAATGTGTCAGTGTACGTTTTTTTAGAATCCCAATTCATTTGATAAAAGACATTAATTTGTTTGAAACTATTTTTTTGGAAAGTCTGATGAGTATTTGTTCATGAAAAAAATGATGATATTTATAATATGCCTCCATTTTGTTATTCGGTTTTGCTTTGTGTTGGTACCAAATAGTGTGAAGGATAAATTGGCTGCCATCAAAATAGAAGAATTGCAGTAAGTATGTCACCATTTTTATTTAGTAATAATGTAACTGCCACCCCCTCCCCCTTCACATTTACCAAAATACCTCCCTAAAAACTACCCTTTTAAATTATATAAACCAAATCCCTATTACAGCAAACAAATTATGTCTCACATGATGTTTGCTTTAGCAAAAACAGCAGACTTTTCTAATGAGCCATTAGTTTCTCTTATTTTGCGGTACGTAGGCAGTTTGCCTATAGAATCGGGTACAAACAGGAAACACAGTCGGTTATCGTTGATAATATACTCAAAATTATAATCCACTTTTAGGCAACGGATCGCAAATAAAACAAAGGAGCTAGAAACGTAAGTAGATTGATATTTATCTTCAATGTGTTCATTTTGTTACAGTATCAACATATCAATGCAACTATTAAACCATGGTCAATTTTGCAAACCAGTTATAGTATATTATCAATATTTACATTAAGCCGCACGGCATCTAAATGAATCGTCTACTTGTAGCATTGAGTACAACTTTCGACGTGAACATATCGCACCATTCTGTTCACATCTTTAATTCAATTTTACATTGCGGTGATTATTTGGAGGTATAATTGGCACCAGATAAAAGTTTCTTGTTCTTCCTCCTTCCTTTCTTTCTTCTTGTCTTCATTTTTTTCTGTCTTTCTTTTATTAACTTGTTGAACGAAAATTATTAAAAAAAAATCACAATACTATTTTACTTTAGTCCCTGCATTAAAGATACTACTAGAGGGTAAGTACAAATTATCTGTTTTGGTTCGTACCATTGTATTCTGCAGCATTTAATTAGCTATTCTTATACTTTGACAACTAAGCTTTATTTTCAAACTACCGACTAGTTTCATACCTTGAAATAGTGTTTCAAAATTCTTTTGGTTTTTTTGCGATATTTTTCTGCATGTATAAATGTCACAAATTTTGCTTCTTATTGTTTTTACTCTAACTTCCCCTTTCTTAAAATCTCTTTCATTTTGATTTAAGCGTTTTAAAATATAAGTTTCTTTTCCATTGATCACTAGGTTTACCTAGGTTGTCCGACTATTACATATAGTCTGATATCCTTCAAAAATCTTTCTATGGCACTGCGAACTCTACCATGATTTTTGTATTTTATATTTCACGAGATGTCTGCGGTGGTTTTCTTGTCTTCTGGTTTTTTGAAGTTTTATTTTGAATTTAGTTCTTTTAAGGAATTTAAACTGACCTCTTATAACGTTGCGAAGTGTTCCCCAAATTTGGATTTTTAAAAAGTATTTGGTTTTAATTCGTTTTGGATATGATCAAAGCCGAACCGAGGCAGTGAAGCTGTAAACAAACAAAATGTGAAACGCATGCAGTTATGAATAATAATACTATCCTCCGCAAACTAAATATTGTTTACAATGAAGTAGGTATGTATTATTATATAAGTAAAGAAAGTAAGTTTACCTTAAAAATAAATAAAGCAACTCCCCCGTAGAGTGAATCAGAAAAGGCCATACGATTCTTCACAATGACAATATCTAAGTATTGGATGCTTTATGGAACAATTACGATTGTCTGTTTGTCTTATATCATATTTATTATCGTTTTCCGTTA